TAGCTTAATATTCTCCAGTTCCATCCATGTTGTTGCAAAAAGAGAGATGGAGTTCTCTCTCTCTCTTTCTTTCTTTCTTAAATGCAGACTGATTTTATTTATTTTTTCTACATCTCAAAGTTAATTATAAAATATTAAAAATTTTTAAAACTATTATAAAGTCTCAGCAATTAAACCAACATGACACCAGCACAGAAATAATTAGGTAGATCAATGAAATATAATGAGCATTCTAGAGACAAATGTATGTATCTGTCTAACAATATATGATTAAGTTGATATTTCAAATCAATGGGTAAAATAAGGCTTATTCAACAAATAAGGTGCACGGACAACTATTACTTGAAATAAAACAAATATAGAGCCCTATTTCACACATTATACAAGAAATATTCAGGTGAGTTAAAAATCAGTATGAGCTACATCATTCTTATTAAATTTTTATTACTACCACTTTCAATCTAAACATAAGAGCATCTCATTTATTCCTCATCCCAGAGGAGCAAGATACTCATATGAGTGAGTGCAGAGGAAAATGAAAGCTTACCTCTTTATGTGTCCAAATCAGTTTATACATTTTTAATTTACTTTCTATGAAAATCATATAAGCTAAAGACAGAGGATAGTAGTAGAAAGTGGAAAAGACTATGTGTGAGTGACCTCAGGCAAGCCATATAAACTTCCTGAGTATGTTTTCCTCTCTATAAAATAAACATGATAATGCCACCTTCAGAGGAAGTCTAAAAACTCCTGGAAAATTGTTAAGTGCTATATAAAATATTAGATGCTTTTAAATACTATACATTTACCTACTTTATGAACTAAAGGTAGTATATTCAACCTAACTTATTCTTGGAAAAAGATTTTAAAGATTTTGATCAGAGGAAAATCTCTCATAAAATTAGAATAAATGTAATAAAATAACATAATTTGTAATACAATTAGAAATGAAAATGTTACTCCACTACATACTCCCATTGAAAGGAAATTGGAAAAACTTACTTCTAAATAATTCATGGATAAATGAGGGGAAAAAAGGAAGACACAACAGGGTTGGAAGACTTGATGAAAAAGGTGAAGGGACTGAGAAGTACAAAGTCACAGGGATGTAAAGTACAGCACAGAAAATATAGTTAATAATATTGTAATAACTGGGTATGATGTCAGGTGGGTACTGGAACTATTAGGGGGAACATTTTGTAAAGTATGCTTTTCTAACCCCTATGTTGTATTCCTGAAACTAATATAAAATGATATTGAATGTAAACTGTAATTAAAAAATAAAAAAAGACAAAACAAAAAAAGCCCTGCATATCACAGAATGCAATTAAAGTATAAAGAGAAATTTTTTAGCTTTAAGTGGATTTATTTGAAAATGAGACTGAAAATATAGGACCAAATAGAAAATTAAGCCTGAAAAAGAGTAAGATCATCCATAAACACTAATAAAGTAGAAAGACATAATAAATATAGAGTCAGAAATTAGGGAGACAGAAAATAACATTGAGAAGTAGGAAGAAAACTGGCTCTTGAAAAAGATTAATAAAATAGACTGTTGAAGATGGAGGCATAAGTAAACATACCTTGCCTCCTCACACAACTACAGAAAAGATTACATCTGGACTACAGAACAAGTATCACCAAGAACCATCAGAAAATTGAGCTGAATGGGAGTTCAACAACCAAGGATTTAAAGAAGCCACATTCATCCATATGGATAGGAGGGGCAGAGATGCAGAAAGAGGTGGGGAGGCAGAGAGCCAAGGGAGTGGCACGGAGATGGGGCGGAATGGGCAGCCCCACATTCACGTAAAAATCTGGGAGGGTTAACTCAGGTGCAAGGGATGTCGGCCCCCACACCAGACAACCCAGCAGCCCAGGGTTCCAGTGCCAGGAAGATAAATCTCCATAACTTCTGGCTGTAAAACTCAGTGGAGGTTGGGGTGGCAGAAGAAACTGCCAGATTATCAGGAGATATGGGCTGGCATGGGCTTAAGGCTCACACATACCCACTCTCTCTGGGATTCAGCACCAGGACAACAGCTGGAAGGGCAGAAGTGGCATACAGTAGAAAGTGAAGAGACTAGAAGCAGGGCAAGTGCTGAGAGACAGCTTCCTCCCAGGCAAACCTCCAGAAGCCAGGCAGCGGCACTGTCTTCCCTCCGAGCCCTCCCCCCAGACACAAAGTCACAAAGAGGTGAAACAGGTTGCCCTGCCCTGGTGGTCACCTAAGGCCCTGCCCCATGCAATTTATAGGTCCACCCTTCTACAACAAGCCACACTATTAAGACAGGGAGTCAAAGCAACTCTACCTAATACCCAGAAATAAACAGAGGGAGGCTGCCAAAATGAGCAAACAAAGAAATATAGCCCAAATGAAGGAACAGAATAAAACTCGAGAAAAAGAATTAAATGAAAGAGATAGCCAACCTAACCGATGAGGAGTTCAAAACACTGGTTTATTAGGATGCTCAAAGAACTCACTGAGTAAAGTAACAATATAAAAAAGACCCAGGAAGAAATGAAGGTTATATTAAGTGAAATAAAGAAAAATCTACAGGCAACTAACAGTGGAGGGGATGAAACTGAGTATCAAGTCAATGATATGGAACATAAAGAAGAAAAAAGAATTTAAAAAAAAAAAAGCAAGGAAAGACTAAGAAGCCTCTGGAACATCAGTAAAGATGCCAACATCTGAATCATAGGGATGCCAGAAGGAGAAGAGGAAGAGCAAGAAACTGAAAACTTATTTGAAAAAATAATGAAAGAAAACTTCCCTAATTTGGCAAAGGAAACAAGACATATAAGTAAGTCCAGGAAACACAGAGTCCCAAACAAGTTGGACCCAAAGAGAACCACACCAAGACACATGATGATTAAAATACCAAAGGTTAAAAATGAAGACATCATCTTTTTTTAAAAAGATTTTATTTATTTTCAGAGAGAGGGGAAGGGAGGGAGAATGTGAGGGAGAGAAACATTAATGTGTGGTTGCCTCTCGTGTGTTCCCTACTGGGGACCTGGCCCACAACCCGTGCGTGTGCCGTGACTGGAAATTGAACTGGCAATGTTTTGATTTGCAGGCTGGCACTCAATCCACTGAGCCACACCAGCCAGGGCACCAAAAGAGAATTTTAAAAGCAGCAAGAGAAAAGAAGAGAGTTATTGACAAAGGAGTTCCCATAAGACTCTCAGATGATTTCTCAAAAGAAACCTTGCAGGCAAGAAGGGGCTGGAAAGAAGTATTAAGGTCATGAAAGACAAAGACCTACATCCAAGATTATTCTATCCAGCAAAGCTATCATTTAGAATGGAAGGGCAGATAAAGTGATTCCCAGATAAGGTCAAGTTAAAGGAGTTCCTCATCACCAAGCCCTTATTACATGAAATGTTAAAGGGACTTATCTAAGAATAAGAAGAAGATCAAAAACTATGAACAGTAAAATGACAACAAACTCACATCTATCAACAACTGAACCTAAACACTCAAAAAACAAAAACTAAGCAAACAACTAGAACAGGAACAGAATCATAGAAATGGAGATCAGAGGGGAGAGGCATTGGCAGAAAATCTGTCTGTGAAATTAAAGGAAGAATGGTTCAAGAATGTCAAAATCAGATCTGCAGGCAGAATAAACTCATTGAAGAAAAAAAGATAGCCTGTTAAAGTTGATTGTTGAAGTAAATGGCAAAAAGCAGGAGTTGGAAGCACTGATTGCAAAAATCCAGCACCTTAAGAAATGCTAGGAAGAAGGAAACTATTTCTACTTCTGAAAAAGCTAGTGAAGAGAGGTTGCAAAGGCTATAGAAATCTGTAGACTTGTATAAAGATCAATTTCGACTAGAAATTCGAAAAATTTATGGTAATGAGTTACAGTTCAGATTCACTAATGTTGACCCTAAGCACTATGATAGCCCATTTATGTTTTGCCTGCACCTAAATGAAGCAAGGGACTATGAAATGTCAGATAGTGCTCCTCGTCTTGAGTATCTGGCAGATTTTGTAAGAGAATGTAAGGAAGACCAAAAATTTTTGGGCCTTTCTCGCTAATGTTCAGAAAGCTTTTAGTACTATGGTTCATAATTAATGTATAAATAGTATATTAAAACTTTATTTTTCTTCCCTATTGTGTATCTCTTTTAAAAAGAATTCTCATTATCCAGTTTGCCTAAAATCCTTTTTTATTTATTTTTTTAACATTTATGTGTTAAAGTAAAATTAAATTTTAATTAAAATCTTAGGAAATAAAAAAAAGGTGGGAGGAGGGAGATTGGGGGTAATAAGAAGCATAAATAGTAGGTACGAAATAGTGAGAAGTTAAGAATAGTATATGCAATAGAGAAGCCAAAGAACTTATATGTGTGACTTATGGACATGAACTAAGGGGGAGGGTGCTGGCGGGAGGGAGGTGCAGAGTGGAGGGGGAATAAAGGGGAGAAAAAAAATGGGACAACTGCAATAGCATGATCAATACTATATTTAAAAAAATAAAATTTGAGTGGAAGGTAAAGCTCTTTAAACAATTCTTTTCAAAAGGAATGCACATGGCAATGGACTGATGTCCTGAGCTAGCCCAGGTCATCATTTCCGCTTCCTACCTTTGTGTCAATTCTTCAAAAACATAATACCCTCCAACTTTGTTAGAAAGAATACTGTTTCCAGGAAATTTGCCCTTTCACACAGGTGTCCAACCTGCAGCCTGTGGGCCGCATGCAGCCCAGGATGGCTGTGAATGTGGCCCAGCACAAAATTGTAAATGTACTTAAAACATTATGAGATTTTTTTTGTGATTACGTGTCACAATGTATTTAATGTGAGGCCCAAGACAACTCTTCTCCTTCCACTGTGGTGCAGAGACGCCAAAAGACTGGACTGCTTTAAAACATTTTTCTAATGTCATTGTTACTTTCACTTAGTTTGTATGTAAAAATATTTTAGATTTTAAAATGGATAGATTCTAAAATGGTCAACATCACATATTACACTAAAGGTAACGTACCTTGCTGGAGGTTTCCAATAAAAACTGGAATGTGTTCTGCACAGTTTGACATGTTTCTAGCTCAGTCCGGCTGAAGGCTATTAAATAATCTTTCAGGTGATCATACACATTTCCATCAAGAGCCTGTAAGAGAGGAATTAACAAAAACAAAAACAAAAATATGATAAAGCTTTGACACATAATGCCTACAGTTTCCAAGGTAAGCTCAGTTTAAATTTATTAATAGTAAATTAACAAAAGATACAGATTATTGTGTAAGAGTAAATATAAACAGTAAACAATCATTTTGGAAAATGTTAACTCTCTCTAAGTAGGAACTAAAAAAGGTAAAATCCAATATTGGTGAAGCCGTGGGAAAAGAACAAAACTTGGGGGATAAAATGCTTGGGTTCTGACCTCTGCTCATCTGCTATTAGCTGTGTCTCCTTCTGTTGTCACTTTAGTGAGAACACGTGTGGGAGTTAAATGAAATAATGAATGTGAAAGGATCCAGGCATAGTGCCTGGAACAAAGCAGACACTCAATAAACATTAATCACATCGATTTTTCCTTGTCCATTATTGGTAGGATTATAAATTAGCATATTCTTACTATATAGTAGTCAGGGAAAAATACAATTGAAATGGTAAAAAGAAATTAAAAAAAAATGTGACTAAATTCCTGTTTGGGGGAAGAAACACCAATGTAATGTCTACGAACAGTTTAAAACACTTTTAAGCATTTATTTGTTTAAGCATAGAACGGGACTCTTTTAAACGGAAAAAAACCCCCAAAAAACAAAAAGGAGTGAAAACCACCAAACATGTGAGAAATGATTAAGCTAGGGTATATATAATGACTAAAATATATACAGCCACCAAAGTAAAAACTGTGGAAACTATATAGATGGAAAAGTATGTCCCAAATTATCCTAGGTTTAAAAAAAAGGAATAAATAGAATACATACATACTAGCAACAACTATGGGAAAAATATATCAATGAACAAAAAAGGTTCTAGAGTCTTGCCAGTCAATGGAAGTTTTCTTAAAATTGAGGTAAAATTCACATTCTATAAAAGTCACCATTTAAACTATTTTAAATAGTTGAATCCAGTGGTTTTTTGTACAGTCACAATGTTGTCCAACCATCACTACCATCTAATTTGAAGAGATTTTATCACCCCCAAAAGAAATCCCATACCATTAAATGGTCACTCCCTTTCTTCCTTTCCCTTAGTCTCTGGCAACCACTAATCTACTTTATATCTCTACAGATTTGCCCATTCCAGACATTTCATATAAATGGAATCATATAATATGTGGCCTTTTATGCCTGCATCTGTCACTTAGCATAATGTTTTCAAGGTTCATCAAAATATTAGTACTTTTTATGGCTGAGTAATACTCCATTGTACGATACACCATATTTTATTTAGTCATTCATTAGTTGGTAGACATTTGGGTTGTTTCCACTTTTTGGCTATTATGGATAATGCTGCTATGAACATTTGTGTACAAGTTTCTGTTTGAACATCTGTTTCCAATCTTCTTGCATATATGCCCAGTAGTGAAGTTGCTGGGTCCTAGGATAATTCTGTCTAATTATTTCAGGAATTGCCAAACTGTTTTCTACTGTCGCTGTAAAACTTTATATCCCCATCAGCAATGTAATAAAGTTCTACTTTCTCTACATCCTCAGCAGCACTTGTTATTTTGATTTTTAAAATTATTCATGCCATAGTAGCAGTTATCTCATATGGTTTTAATCTGCATTTATCTAATAACTAATGACACTGAACATTTTTTCGTGTGCTTATTGGCCACTTGTATATTATTTTTGGAGAAATGTCAATTCAAGTCCTTTACTCATTTTTAAAAATTTTATTTTTTTGTTTGCTTGTTTTTGTCTTTTTACTACATATGAGCATTTTCCCACGTAATTAACTATTTTTTCAAAGACTTCATTTATTTATTTTTAGAGAGAAGGAAAGGAAGAGAGAGAAATATCGATGTGCAAGAGATACAGTGATCTGTTGGCTCTCACACACACCCAACTGGGGACCTGGCCTGCAACCCAGGCATGTGCTCAATTGGGAATTGAACTGGTGATCCTTTGGTTCGCAGGCTGGTACTCAATCCACTGAGCCACACCAGCCAGGTCAGTCCTTTACTCATTTTTATATTGGGTTGTTTGATCCTTTTGTTGATGAGTTGTAGGAGTCTTTTATATATTTTAATACTATTTATATATTTGGATATATGTACCTTATCAGATATATGATTTTCCAATATCCTCTCCTATTTGGTGAGCCATCTTTTCACTTTCTTGGTAGTGTCCTTTAATACACAAAAGTTTTTTATTTTGATGAAGTTTAATTTAGCTATTTTAATTTTATTACTTGTATCTTTTTGGTGTGATATCTAAAAATCCTCAATGGAGGTATTACAGTAAAAAAAATTCTTCCTATACCTTGTGTTTGACTATTCCATTAAATTTTTACTATAAAATCGATTTTTAAAAAATATACAAATTCTGGTCCCTGGCTGGGTAGCTCAGTTGGTTAGAGCATCAACCCTATCTGGCAAGGTTCAGTCTCCGGTGAGGGTACATACAAGAATCAACCAATGAATGCCTAAATAGGTAGAACAACAAATCAATGCTTTCTCTCTCTCTCTCTCTCTCTAAAATCAATCAATTAAAAAAAATAGAGAGTTCCAGCCAAGATGGAGGCGTAGTAGATATGCTTCGCTTCCTTGCACAACCAAAAGGACAACAAGAAATTTAAAAACAAAACACCAAAACTGTCAGAATATTGAACTGTATGGAAGTCCAACAACCAAGAAGTTAAAGGAGAAAGATTCATCCATACTGGTAGGAGGGGCAGAGAGGACTCGCAACAAGGCTGCAGCTGGCGACCAGGCGGACCAGGCAGACCAGGCAGACCAGGCAGTCCCACATTCGAGTTCAGATAAAACGCGAGCAACAAATGGGGAGCGAGGCAGATCACACAACCCAGGGTTACAGCGTGGGGGAAAATAAAGTCTTAGACCTCTGGCTGTAAAAGTCTGTGATGGTTGTGGTGGCGGGAGAAACTGCCAGTCTCTTCAAAGTGGGGCGAGAGCCAAGCAAGTGGCCTTGTTCCCTCTCTGACCCTCCCCCACATACATTGCCAAAACGTGGCAAAGTGGGTTGCCCTGCCCTGGCAAATACCTATGGTTCTGCCCCTTACAATGTAACAGGTGCGCTGAGACAAAGAAATATGGTCCAAATGAAAGAACAGATCAAAACTCCAGAACAAGAACTAAACAACAAGGAGAGAGCCAACCTATTAGATGCAGAGTTCAAAACACTGGTAATCAGGATGCTCACAGAATTGATTGAGTACGGCTGCAAAATAAAGGAAGAAACATTCATCCTTTCATCTAATTATTCATCTAAAGGAAGAACTGAAGGTTATAAAAAGTGAAATAAAGAAAAAAAATATAGAGAACCAACAGTGAAGGGAAGGAAACTGGGACTCAAATAAATGATTTGGAACAAAAGAAAGAAATAAACATTCAACTGGAACAGAATGAAGAAAAAGAATTTTTAAAAAATGAGGAGATGCTTAGGAACCTCTGGGACAACTTTAAACATTCCAACATCTGAATCATAGGGGCGCTAGAAGGAGAAGGGGAAGAGCAAGAAATTGAAAACTTATTTGAAAAAATAATGAAGGAGAACTTCCTCAATCTGGCTAAGGAAACAGACTTCCAGAAGATTTAGGAAGCTCAGAGAGCCCCAAAGAAGTTGGACCCAAAGAGGAACACACCAAGACACATCATAGTTACATTATCTAAGATTAAAGATAAGGAAAGACTTAAAAGCAGCAAGAGAAAAGCAGAGAGTTATTGACAAATGAGTTCTATAAGACTCTCGGCTAATTTCTCAAGAGAGACCTTACAGGCAAGAAAGGGCTGGAAAAAGTATTCAAAGTCATGAAAGGCAAGGACCTACATCCAAGATTATTCTATCCAGCAAAGCTATCATTTAGAATGGAAGGGCAGATAAAGTGCTTCCCAGATAAGGTCAAGTTAAAGGAGTTCATCATCACCAAGCCCTTATTATATGAAATGTTAAAGAATAAGAAGAAGATCAAAAACTATGAACAGTAAAATGACAACAAACTCACAACTATCAACAACTGAACCTAAACACTCAAAAACAAAAACTAAGCAAACAACTAGAACAGGGACAGAATCACAGAAATGGAGATCCCATGGAGGGAGATCAGTGGGGAGGGGAAAGGGGGAGGATGGGGGAAAAGGTACAGGGAATAAGAAGCATAATTGGTAGGTACAAAATAGACAGGGAGAGGTTAAGAATAGTATTGGAAGTGGAGAAATTAAAGAACTTAATATGTACAACTCACGGACATGAAATAAAGAGGAGAATGCTGGAGGGAATGGGCTTTGGGTGAGGGGGAATAAAGGGAGAAAAAAGAATGGGACAACTGTAATAGCATAATCAATAAAATACACTTTACCAAAAAAAAAAAAAAGAAAAGAAAAAGAGGAAAATAAAAAATATACATACTCAGTTTCCAAAGCCCAGAGTAATAAAACACATTCTACAGTACTTAAACCACTAGATGGCACCATCAAGCACTTTATATATAGGCAGTGCAAATTCCTTAAGATTCTTTTCTGTGTACTTATGTAAATATTCCCACCTGGGAGAGCTTCCTGGTGTTAAGTCTGAATAAAAATTCTTGCCTTACAACATGTTGCCCATAAATTTGCTAAAAAAGAAGCATATAACTTCTGTTATGAAGCTTTTGCCTAAAAAATTCTCTTGGTAGACGGTCATAACCTTGTGCTTGTAGGAAACCACTATTTTATTTAAAGACAGCAAGTGGCAATACAGCCATCATCAGCTCCCGCCTCTAGAGCTTCTGATTCAGTAAGTGGGGGTGTCACCTATTAATCCGTATTTTCTCATAACTTGCTGCTGGTCTAGAGGCCATAATTTGAGAACCATTGGACTAAACAGTCATTTCAGCAGATTAGGTAGAGCGTTTGTGTAGACCTAGATCCTGCTGACTCCGTAGAAGCAAAGTGGCAGGAGGCAGAGAAACCTACTATTCTGAGCAGGTAGGCAGATC